ATTTGGTGACCTGGTCATAGAAGGCCACCAGGTTGGTCTGACAGAACCTGCCTCTAATGAACCCGTGTTGGTTGCCCCTAAGCATAATCTTTCTCCCCCCGGCCCCTCGTGGACATGTGCCAGGATAATTCTCTCAAAAAGCTTACCCAGGATCAAGGTAAGACTAACTGGCCTATAGTTCCCCAGGGCCTCCTTCCTCCCTTTTTTGAAGATAGGTACCACATTGGCCCTCTTCCAGTCCTCTGGCACCACACCAGAGCACCACAAGTGCTCATAAAGCCGTGCCAGGGGCCCCCAATGACTGCAGCCAATTCCCTCAGTACTCATGGGTGGAAATTGTCCGGACCAACTGATTTAAATACATCCAGTCACTCTGGAAGTTCCCTGACTAGATCCTCCCTGACCCATGGCCTAGGTGCGCTTCCCCTGGGGCCTGAGTGGGGCTGATCCGGTCCCTTCTCAGGAAAATGGAGGCAAAGAAGTGGTTAAATAGGTTAGCTTTGTCATCTGGTATGTCAACCAAATTTCATAGCGTGTCTTGCAGGTGCCCCACGTTACCCAGTACCTTCTTTTTGCCCCCTGTGTATTTAAAAAAGGACTTCTTGTCCTTGATCCGGGAAGCTAGTCCTAGGGTGATGGGCTCTATGCCAGCTCCAAGCATTAGAGATCACGGGAGCAACTTGCTGTGTTTTCCCTTGGTTTTAGAGCCACTGTGGGGCTGGTGCTCACAGCTATAACCTTTCCCTGGAACGTGTTTTCCGCAAGCAGAGATCCTCCTTAGCCATGTGACCCTGGACTTGATGTCCAGGCTATTCCAGGTTTCTTATATAACTGCCAGAGTTAGCAGCACCGAGTTGTCTCAAAGCCTTCTCAACCTCCCCAGCCCTTGAGCCAGGCTCCAGACACTCGGGCAGAGGTGGAAAACCACGCAGCTGACAGTTCAGCTGCCCGGAAAACAAACTGGAGACCCTTCCCTCTACATATCTGCCTGCAGCCCCTCCCCACCTCTGCAGTGCCTTAGACACTGCAAACCTCCCAGCAGTGGGGGCTCTTGGCACAAGGAAGCAGAGTGGGGATTGCCTGGCTCCTGGGACAGATACGTGGAGATGGGCACTGCGGGGCCTGCCCTGTGACTGGGCACCATGTCTCTCTTGCCCCTGCAGGGACCCGGAGTGCAGTGCCCCGTGTGCCGGGAGACACTAATCTATGACCTCTCAGCGCTGCAGGCTGCACCACCCCCACAGCACCCCTTGGTAAGTGGCACCTACCTGGCAGTCCAGCCCAGCTGGTCTGAGGACAGTGTGAGGCATGGCCCTGCCCCTGCTGCCTAACCCAGGATGCTTTACAGGCCCCTCATGTGTGATTTAATAGTCCTTGCCTTGCTTAGGGCTTGCCTGATCCATCCCCTGTACCTGGCCTTAAAACTGCTAGGCACCAGAGGCAGCGGTTACAGGGAACATGTTGGTCACTAGGCCACTGACACAGGAACACAAGGCAGCCTTGGCTCTGCCTGCACGTCTCTGGGTTGCCCCCAGCCCATTAGTTGATATATGGGAAACATGGGCTGGTTGCACCAGTGCCCAGATGCCGTGGGGGCATGGGTAGGGGCTGATGTACCCACTCACTACCCCCAGGAGCAATACAGGCCCGATGCGGAGGCACTGCGGCAGCAGGCAGAGCTGCACCTCATCTACAAGCGACAGCAGAGGAAGGGGGGCATCATCGACCCAGAGGCTGAGAGGAACCGCTACTTCATCAGCCTGCAGGCAGTAGGTGGTAGGGACAGACGTGGGTGGCTACAGGCCCTGGCAGTGTGGGCTGCTCGGGGTGGGGGGCATAGTTCTGTCATACTCTCGCTGGGGCTTTTGGCTGCTCCAGGCCAAGGAGGCTTTTCACCGCAACCTGAGGTCTCCAGGCAGCCTCGGAGGCTCTGGCTGTGAGACTGGAACAGCCAGCAGAGCCTGAAGAGCAGGCGGTAGTCATGGGCTGCTCTCCCCAGGAGCCTGGGGTCAGCCTGGCAGCCATACCCCCTCTTCATTGCCGGCTTTCCTTTTTCAGCCTCCAGCTGCCTCTGAACCAGGCCCTGTCCCCCCACTCGAGCTGGCAACCCCGGGGGCTCCTGAGCTGCCCTGCCAACTTACAGGTGGTGCCCCAGACCCACCTGATCCCTCTGGAGCCCCTGTGCTGAAGGGAGAAGCCAGGCCCCCAGACAACATGTCCGTGCCTGTGGAGCAGCAGAATAGGAGAGAGCGGCGACCGGGGCCCAGAGGCCAGCCCAGGCCTGCAGGCAGCGACTCAGATACTTACTACCGAGCCCGGGGGTTTGGCCGGAGACCAGAGCGGTGGGAGGACAGGAGCCAGAGGGCCACTGGGCGCTGCAGCCAGGAGCACCCCCGGCCACATGCTAGAGCCCAAGCATCTGTCTGTGCCAACAAGGAAGAGCCATGCCAGGACAGTGCCACAGGGGCGACAGTTGTGAAGGAGGAGAGCAGTAGTGAAGGGGCCTGGGTGCCAGAGCAGGCAGCCAGCACCCGAAGCCAAGAGAAGGAGAATCTGGCGCTGAACCACTCCAAGCCCCGGCCCTCCCCCAGCTGGCAGGGCCCCTCCCCAGCGCGGGACTGTGGGAGGTGGGGGAAGGCACGGGAGCGCGGCACCCACCCCCGTGGGCCTCGAGGGAGGGGGGCCTTCCGGCCCGGCAGCAGGCGGGAGCCCCAGGTCCTGGAGACCGAGAGCGGCTCCTAGCAGGAGTGGCCGGGGGCTGGGGCGAGGGTGGGGGAGACTAATAAAGGTTCTGTTGGCCTAGCAGCACCCAGCTTCCCCACCATAGAGAAGTGGGGGCAACGCCAGTACCTGGCAGGGTCTGGGGCTGATCATGGCGCTGTCTTTGCCTCAAGGAGCTGGGGGCTGCTGGACCACTGCTGTCAGCAAGGGGCTGGGGCTGGTGCTGATGCAGCGCCCTGGTCCCCCATGCAGCCCTTTGCCAGGCTGATTCCTGCGGGTGCCAGCTGGCGCGCTGGCCTCCCTGCCCAGCCCTACTGAGCTGAGCTGAGCTGCAGCAGCCATGCCCACAGACCCCCTGGATGTGAGCACTGAGGTGGGGCTGGTGCCTTCCCCAGGGTCCTGGCCAACTTTGCTGGTGCTAGCGCTTCTCTGGTGCACTAGTTACCTGGAGCCAGGAGCATTCCTTCAGCCATGAGCTTGTGGCCAGCCTGGAGCCAGGGCAGAGACTCCAATGCTGCCATGTTCCTGCTGGAGCCCCTGCTGCCTCTGGGGCTCTCCGGAGAGAGCGGTGTTGTCTCCCTGGCACAGCAATGGCTCTACACTGCACAAGGCTAATTACAATTCACCTCTGCTTCATCATTAGCACCTCTGCCCCCCAACCTAGCCCCCTGCTTTGACTTCTAGGCAACACATGGCCACATCTTAGCCCAGTGCCAGCGTGACAGTGCTCCTGTTCAGCACGGTCCTCCATTGCCTCCCATGTCAATGCAGTCTTGGCTTTTAGCCCCAGGGACAGTGGGCAAGGCTGGGCACTTCTCACCCTGATTTGCTGCTGCTGCCTGAGGTGGGAAGGAGATTCCTGCAGGATCTCTGCTGCCCTGACACCAGCTGAGCTTTCCTTCCTGCACCTAGATGTCTGATCTGTCCCCAACCAATGGGCATTGGACCTCGTGCTCTGTCACAGCTCCTTTATGGCCTGGGGAAGAGGCTGGAGCCATCACAGCCAGCTTGGAACTGAACCATTTGGTGGCAGAGCCCCAGCCAAATATGGCACAGGATCTGGTTTCAGTCCTGGAGGGCTGGGCTTGAAGATTAAAGTCCCTGCTTGGGAGTTCAAAGACAGCAGCCAGCGGGACCTGGGACACAGCAGCTGAAGGATGACGCCTTCCTGTAGTGGCTGGGAACCCCACCAACTCCATTTCAACCTCCTCCTGCACCCTGAGACCAGGCTTTTGGTCTTTGCCTTGACTTCCCCAGTTGCCAAATGGGCCTAACTGTACTGACCTACCTCACAGGGCTGGGTGAGGCTGAGCGCACCGGCGCTGTGCCTAGAATTAATAGTATTAAAAGTGAGTGGAGTGACTGGCAGCCTCATGTCCTCTGTGTGTAGGTGGCTGGGCCAGGGCACACCAGCAGGAGTGGTGTCCCAAGTCTGCTGTCAGCTTTGCCACTGGAGCAGCACCAAAGCCATTCGTGGCAGCCCTGATACCCGACTTTCAGCTGCATAGCACACCTGTGGTCCCCCTGACCGCAGCTTCCGGCCTACAGGGCCACGGGCTGCAAGGCAGGTTGCCATTGTACCTATAGAGTTTGCAGCTGTCAGGTTTGTAGCCAAGGCTCCACGGTGCCCCTGTGGCCTTGTCTAGCCTGGGCATGTGACTGAGGGATAGAAGTCCTCAGCCCAGACACTGCTGGGCTAGTCGGCATGTGGCAGCCCAGTTGAAGCTAACTCAGTTTCCCTGCTGTTAGTACGTGGGCCCTCTGTTCTCCAATACCATGTCCCTGAGGGCCAGGGACCCCCATGCCCCTCTCCACGTGTGTCCTGCACCCATTGATGACAGCGAGTCTCTCTGGCAGGGCAGACTCTGGCATCCCTTGCTGGGAGGGGATTACTGCCCCTAGTAGACCCCCTACATTCACCTGGCCACGGACTCCATTGCATGTGCCTGGCCAGCCAGTGACCACATCTGTAGCTCTAAGGCACCAGGCTGTAGGCAGCCTCACCTAGTGGTTAGATCAGCATGGAAGGGCAGGCCCCATCTAATCCGGGACCCTGGGCCCAGAGCCACCAGGGAATCCAGAAGTGGTCCAAACAGAGCGCAGAAGGCTGCGACCTGGGTCCTGGAGCAGAGGGGGAAATGTGCTAGGAACAGAATGAGACCAGAGACCACAGGCCACGATCCAGCCACAGCTGGGCCGTGCCAGAGCTGTTTGACCCGGTGATGGGGGGTTGATGGGGTAGATCAGAGCCTGCAGGTCCCTGGTGTGGGTTCAAAGGGGGACAGTGGCAGGCATGGGGCAGAACACAGGGCCAGGGGCTGGAAGTGCCACACAGGAAACTGAGGCAGGAAGGGAGGAAGGACTTCCTCCCCTAGGAGGGGGATCAGGGCTAGGACGAGGAATCTCCAGGCCTAGGGCAGATGGATGAGCAGGCTGGAGTCGCACAGGGCTGGGGCCAAACTTTGCTCATCAACTCCCCCTCCACTGCTCGCAGCCTCCCTGAGTATGGGCTCAGCCCAGGCTGCAGGTCAGGCATCCCCTGGCCCCTGGGCTGCAAGCCAGCGTGGAGAGCTGCAGCAGGCAGCCGCCTCCCCTGGGCATGGTGCCATCACTGCTTTATAGCCAGGACTGTGGCAGGGAGGATAGGGGATCCCCTTCTGTGACCCCCCACCCCCCCACC